GAAGTCAATTAGCACTAGGAATTTGGAGTGGAGTGGTTTTTAAGAAAAGGTTTTCTTTAAACACCCTACTGACTACAGAGGCATGATGATTATACTTAATTTCAAACCCACACTTATAATCATGATTCAAAATATCTGAGAATTTCACTGATCCTCTGTTGAAATAAATGATTTTGATATTCATGACATCTGCAGATCATGATGAAGGATTCATCCCTTGGCACATATTTAACTTAAAATAACAGTTACACCAGACAAATGCATCACACCTTGAAAAGGTAAAGAGAACAAATGTGAATCTTTGACCTAGAAAAAAAAGAAGAAAGAAAACAAACTAATAAACAAAATATAAATCGACCATGTAAGTCGGCAATCACATAACTCGGTTTGCGACGTCGCAGACTTTCTGTCATACTTTATTTTTTAAACGGAAAACTTTTCAACGGCAATTCTTTAAAACTGCATTTTTCCTCTCTGCGCGAAGAAAATTCTGTAAAAACTTCAAGGAATGGTGTTAATTTGTTCACTTTTAAAAAAAATAACATAGAAGCGGGGATTTTCAGACACCGCAAACGAGTTATGTGATTGCCAACTTACACCGTCGAAATATTTTAGGCACTGTAAGCTTCTTTCAAGATATTTACTTCAAAATGGTACACAGAACGCTATTCAACGAAAACTCCTGCCTTCGGATGATTGACACATGCCTTGTTCCTCTCGGACTTTGTGATTAAATTTTAACCTTCTGACTGTTGCTTTATGTTTTTTTAAATGATGCAAACTTGTGATTACTTAGCATATTAAGTAGTTCATAAAAAATTAGGTCTATTTAAAATCAGAAACGAGAAAAATTGGAAAAAATTAAGATAAAAAATGAAAAAGAAAATTATACAAAAGAAAGTCATAATTGTGATCAAAATGTGTGCATTAAGCGTTGTTGACACTTGTTGTTTCTTATTGACACAACTCTGACACTAAAATGGGAGGATCAATTCAATTAGCGGTGTAAAACTGGAGAGGAGTGATAAATTTAAAAAACAATAGAGCACCAAAAAGTTTATACTGGCTGTGACACACTTGAAGTATTAATCCTGAAGTACATAAAATATTTTGTAAAAAGTACAACAAATTTGATAGGTAATAAAAATTGTTTCAGTCAGATTTGGGTAAAAAAAGGTAAAGAATACGATCAGAATAATGCTTACCATCTGCAGGTGTAGGGAAGATGCCACAGCGTTAACATTAAAAGAGCAAAAAAAAGAGAAAAGGAAAAGAGAAAAGATAAGTATAATTGTGAGAGTAAATATTCAGCAGCAAGTGTAAACAAAGAGCAGAGAGTAAAAGCATTAGAATGTATGCATTGTAAAAACCATTTCAAGGGTGCTTAAGAGTAAGCTTGATCAGGTTGAAAAAAAAAATAATTTCAGGAAACATTACAATGAATATAAAAATTAGGAGGGGGGTAGGGGGAGAGAAACATATTTGGTAACTTGTGAAATAAATATATTCCTCCTTTCACTATCAAAGGAGAAAGAAAGTCAAACATTGGTCAGCACTTGGGCTCTTTACTGAAAGACTTTGAAATCAGTGACAAAAAGTTATGCCTTGTCCACACGCACCCAGGTTGGACAAATAACTTCCACGGCCTTTGGATTCCAGGAACAAGTCGTAGCTGAGCTATAGGGCCTTGTCTCCACTGGCAGTTACACTGGATTGGTCCTAGGGGAGAATCCCAATTCCGAAGTCAGAAAAATATTGAGTAAATCAATATTTTTCTCAGTGCCAAGTATGGTCCTTATGCCATGTATCCCTTAGACCGACTGAGCAAGGAAGAAGGAGAGAAAGCAAATTGTGCGATATTTTGTTGTTTACTCCACTGTTTGTGTCTGTTTGGTTAAGATAATGTGTCTCGTTGTTAATCGTGTACCTACAATTATCTCAATCCCAGATAACTGCTGGATTTTTACTAATTTATCTTTCCGCGCCAACTTGTCGCAGAAACAAGAAAGTCCCGTCCTGTGGAGAGGGTATGTAACTAGGAAAAATCCTAGAAGTTTCATTCCTGTGATTCGAACTTGGGACGAATCCCATAAAACGTTCGGTACCATAGAGATAAGGCCCAACAAGTTTCTGGAACAAGTTCGCCCGAAGTTCCTTGAAGCACCCTCGTGTGGAAAAGGCCTTTGGCAGGAGAGATGGCGAAATGAAAGGTTCTCACTATCCCTGGCCGATTGTCTTAATGAGGTTATGTTAGGAGGGCCCTCCTGCATAGGAGGATATGCAGGAGTACCCAGTGCGCCACTGCCTGCAGATTAGAGGGAGGGGAGAATAAACAATTCTGAAATTCAACATGACATATAAATGACAGTTATAACTTATGCAAGTTATGACTTATAAACGACCCTTCGCCAAAATTTGTAAGTTCATTGGCTAAATTATTACATTTTATTAGGAACAAGATTAGTACAATAAACATGAACAGTCAATCAACGTTGGATTTTTCTCTTGAGATCATATTAAAAGGATATTTTGGGTTACTATATTACGATTTTATTTGCATTCCCTAGAAGGCAGAGCAAAATTTGTTTGATGTAGGGATAATGATGAAAATCAGATCTTACAGTTACACTCGATTGAAGAAGAGAAGAATTTCAATGAATGGAGCTCAAGATTTGCGTCTAATTCTTAAAATTTTACTGCGCCATCAAGATACTGCTGAAATACTGTCTTATGTTTTAAAACGGTATACATGCTGAACTCTCAAGAAAATAAAAAAAAATTGCATCCTACGACAGTTTGGATAGAACTATCACTGAAAACAAAATTAATGAGGAAATGCTCCCGAACAAGAGTGAGGGGACTAGTAATGCAATAAATTAATAATAATAAAAAAAAAAAAAAAAAAACATGGCCAGAATCATAATGACAGTAAGTTGTGAATATTTTATGGAAGTGAAGGAGTCAGATAAACTAAATTATAAGTGGACCGCGTTAAACAGAGGAACCAAGCCACATCAGCTATTGCCAAATTTAACAGGGAAATTTTATTTTTTACGAGAGAACTTTTGTGCGGATTCCTTTGAGAATTTTAGGGAAGTTGCGTTGTGTTATGAAGAAAATTTACTGAAATTTGCACAAAAATCCGCACAACCATTATCATGGAAAAACTTAAATTGCCTAATTAAATTTGGCAATAGCTGATGTGGCTTGGTTCTTTTCTGTTTAACGAGGTCCAAGTCATACCTTGAAAGCTGAACAAAATATGGAAGCATAATATTTTTAAAATTAAGGAGAGGATATTTTAGAGGCTGAAAACCTGGAGTTAACAGGAAAATATGAAACCTTAGATATATAAGAAGCATATGTCGCATTTTTAATTTTGAGGAACTAGCATTCAAAGTTTTCAAAGCTGTGCGTTTCAATGTCTGTGTATCAAATAGGGTTTGGCCTAGGAATTTAGTATTAAAAAAATCTTCCTCTAATAAATGAACCTCAGCAATTTAGATTTGAAGCAAATGTCAACAAGGTACAGTGATTTTTTTTTAAAAAAAGGGCCACATCTGCTGTTTTTACAGAGAACTTTTTTTAGCCATAAAATGCACTACCTAGCTAATGTAAGAAAGGTTGAGGGCTTGATATTGATCAAATTAAGATTACTGTTAAGTTTTTTCAATAATTTTTCGAAAAAAAAAAATTGGTAACTTTAAAAAAAAAGGAACAAACAATACTATCAGTCTTTAAAAATACGGAAAAAATTAAAATGGGTGCCACCTCCTAAAGACTTACATGCAACAGGTCTTATTAACTTACATTACTATTGTAAAATGCTCATATATACAAGCCTTGAGGAGATCAATGAGCTTAAGCGAATTATTTAGCTCGATAACCATTATTTCAACGAATTCTGACATCTGCTGTTTCTATACATAAGAAAGATTTTCATTCATATCTTAATGCAAAATTGTGCTGGAAGTCTGATACTTGGTACCAACACTCTTGCAGGTTTGCCGATTTTAAAAAACCTTTATTCCTAAAAACAACGGATGCTTGATATCTGATGTTTGTACAGATATGGCTTCATACATGGGATAAAATAGAGATTGACATGCTGAAGAACCAATGAGTATCTTCACGTAATTATTTCCCAGCACTCGGACACAGAAATATTGGTGATTTAATGATTATATTTATGAATGGAAGAGAAGAATAAAAATTATAGTCAAATGAACGAACAAAGAAACAAACAAAAATTCCATGAACAGGGTGGCCCACACCTATGGTGCCAAGCCTGTTCCTTAGTTATTTTAGGTCCGACGAAGTCCAGGACTTCCAGAACACATAGGGAATCGATCCCAAAAATTCCAAACTTCATGTTCCCCAAGCCTCCCCCCCCCCTACTCCCCAGAAAGATAAAGGGGGCGTCCGTACTTCACAAATTTGTCTTTAAATCAAAATTTTGAAATTATTTCATCCCCATACTGGATGAAGGGATCCCCCTGAGCCCCATCAGAGGAGCCTCTGAGGGTGACAGGACCCTCAAATTCGGATTCCTAGGGGTCGATTTCCCAAGAAGATAACTTTTCAGCGCGCCTCTGCGTCAATTTAGTGAACTTGCACTTTTTAAGGGGATGGCTCTATCCCCCACCTTCAGGGGCCAGTATTACGGACACAGATGGACCAATTTTAGAAATCTTGGTGTTGATTAAGATTAAAATTTTCGGTACTATTTTCAATCAAATAATTTCACAATTTTGATGTAAAACACAACTCCTGAAATATGGATCCGTCATTTAACACCCACCCNTTCAGGATGTCTAGAGGAGGCTCAGGGAACAAAAAATTCGGATTCCTCGAGGTCCATTATCCATCTGTCCCCATTGTCCTAGACTTTGTCTGACCTGAAATAACCGAGAAAAAGGCCTGATACAGTAGATTTGGGCAACCCTGTATTCCCATTCAGAAAAGAGGCATTCATTCAGCTTGGACTTTGATAGAAAGACCATCTTTGCAACTTGAGCTTTATTATTCGTTCTAAATCAGAATGATATCAATATAGTTTGCACCATCATAAAAGCCTGAATCAAAAAGCTAAAAAAAAGAAATATGTAAAACCAATTCCGAAGATTTGTAACTAAACTTAATGACCCAAAACTGTGACTCCATATTCAAAGTTAATTTGTACGGTCTAATCGTGACCACAAAGCAACAATGAGCTGGAGGATGATATCACTTTCTTTAAATTACATCTCTCCTGATGAATCTTGGACTGAACGGCAATTTTAATGCTTACATGAAGAATTCATTGGTTCTATGCGAGACAATCTAAAAATCAATCAAGATATGGATATGCCTACCATAGACGATGAGTAAAAGTGTGTTTGATATAGCAAGAAAATTTGGAAAATTGAATGAAAATAAATGATACTGACCTTCTTCTAATCCTTCGTCACCATCAGACATTAATTCATCGTCTGAACAAATATTAAGAACATTAACTAACATTTCTGTAACTGTAACAAAGAGAAAAGCATCAAACTTAATGAAAAATAATTCAAAAAGTACTGGATGAGATACAGAGAGAACTTGAGAAAAATGATTCATATGCACACTGTTTTTTGGTTCGGATCAAGTAACATTTAATTGGTTCCTTGCACAAATGAGGATAGATGGTTAAGTTAGCCGGTTATTTTTCTTTTCCTTAAAATGTCAATCATTATAAATTTGGAGAATGATGGCCATCCCTTAACTTTGATTGAGCTCTTCTCAGATTTTCGTAAGATTAAATACATGTAGGGTGTCTCAAAATTTTCTGAACTGATACTGCCATTTGTAAAGTAGCTAACCAAGATAATTATTGAATTAATTTTAATCTCACTTTTCAGCTTGCACTATTCTTGATTCATTGAGGTCAAAATCATCTTATTTTCTCAAAATTGAAAGAGTTATCATGAGAGTAAAGCTGCTTCCTACAGGTTTTTCACTCTTGTTCCCGTCAAGTATTGAAAGTCATGGATCTGTTTCAGATAAAATTACTAGGAATAAAATACTTGGCGACACTATGATCATTGCAACAATGTTAAGTTGTTGCATCATTAATGTGGTAACCATAATAATGATGGCAAAGAGGTAAAGCGAATGTAGTCTGGAAAGTTTTTGTCCTCATCCACTTATTTGATTTTGTGGTTGAAGGTTAGCAATGTTCTTTTGATTTTTATCATATATTATTAGTGCAGATTAAATGAGATTTTTCATTAGTAGAGGAGGGAGGTAAGGAAAAGTTAGGAGGGCAGCCCTACAAAATTCATTACTGTGAGCTGATGACAGAGTGGAAAAATGTTTGAAATTTCTCAGAGAGGAGTCCACAGGAAGAATTTCAGAGAAAAAACAAGCAGTGAACTCCAACACAATGTATTGATAAGGCGCGTCATTGACTGGTGTGTATTAACCTCATTAGTTTTCATTAACAGAGATTTTAACATGGGATAGGTAAGCAGTACAAATGGAGAATTCCTGATGCAACACTGCGAGGTCAACCACATACCTCCACGAGACCCTGTACTGTGAACGAAGAGAGTCATTCGAACAAGTTTTATTTTAATCTGCCTCAAGCAAAAACTTCTCAGATTCTTAAAAAACAGTGGCTACTAAATAGTTACAGTCAAAACAGGAAAAATTCTGTCGAACTCCTGGAAAATAAAATCGATTAAAAGGTATATCAGGACCAAAATAACCAAATCACCGTTGTATATCGCGTTATATTGCTGAAAAAATTGACTCGATATAAATGCAATTACATTAATTATGTCTTGAGTTTATTATTTTCAGCATTTTTCCATGCAAAAAAGTTCAGTGATGTCCGATGTTTTTTTTGTTTAAGGAATGGAAAGTAAGCAACCAATCTATATCCCAAAAATCCACCGATTACTCGTAAAAAATCACAGAAACTAGGTACCAGGCCAATATATACACTCGTTGCTTTACAAAATAATTTCGTGAGTGCAAATATGTAAAAATCAATATGATCTCGGGGTGCGTTTATATTGTCGTTAATCAATAACAACAATTTCAATCCCAAAAAACTGTCAATTTTCCGTATAAAATTGAAAAAATCAGCGTAACAAATCATTAAATTTCGACTCTCTGACGTGAAAACTCAATTCTACGTGTACAACTACACATGTATAAATATGCTGAGTTGGTGACATGTGTGAACAACGATTAGAAGCCTGCGGCAACATCAATCAACAAATAAACGGCAAAAATGAGTCAGTTGAGTCATTTTTATTTATTGCGTCATTCAAAAGTAGTAAGTGACCGAAGCTTACAGTTTTTTTCCTAATTTTTCTTGATGACTGCAAACGAGAGAAAAGTTTATTTGAAAGTGCCAAAAATTAGGGTGGCCTAAAACGGTGTTTAAATCGCGCGCTCGTAGGTTTCAAATGTACAAGTCACGAATCACGATCAATATGGCGGCGGAATGCGTAGTGGAAGAATAAACGTCGGCGTCGCGTTGGCGGTGTGTTTTTGTTGGTCAATCGGAGGTTATGTTATGTAGGTTACTTTGTTTGAGATTCATATTCATTGTTCTTAATTCTCTACGCTTTTCAATCAGAATGCGATACAGATGTATGTAGGATATGAAACATTCACACAGAACTTACTTAACCTCAAACGAGAAATCGTGATGTCAACAACGGCAGCGTGGCGGTAGTAAGCAGGTCGGCTTCGGCGCCGCCATCTTCCCATCTATGACGCGTAGATTCGAAGATTCACGGCGGCCGGTTCAAACATGTTTTCGAGGACCCCTAAAAAGGAAGCGTTATATCTCCGCGGAGACAATTTTTCGTGAAATTTAAACGTGAGCATCGTTCTTCTCGTACCGAAAACTGTAAGATTCCACTATTTGCAGGCAAATCCCTCTCGAGCTTAACTAACTCATTAGATGGGATTTTAGCCCCTTTGCTCTCCCTCCCCTCGTTCCTTGGAAACCATCCGTATATCCATCTTAATTTTTTCTCAGAGCTTTGGGTCATTATCAGCTTCCATTTGAACCCCGGTTTGATGGCCGAATCGACTGGCCAAAAAGCAGGCCATTTTCTGGAGGATTTCATGAGAAATTTGTGCAATTATCGGCTCTCAGGAAATTACCACATGGCTAAAATTGGTAATTTAAGTGTTCAAGTGCTTAAAATAATCGTAATTAAGAAACTCAGGCATTAAACTATCAAGCCAATTTCTTTTCAATAGTATATTGGGATTTATTACCAGTGATTTAGCCATTATAGCACCAAAATACTTTTCAATCGCCTCTAGTTTCCAGAATCTTGACAGAATTTTGTTGTTTTTCAGCCTAAATGACTTAAAAGATGATGTAATTCAAGAGTCTGAAGAGTTTTCAATTGAGGCAGATTTAACAATTTAAACTCACTCGGGCACACCATGTATTCTATGGAGTACAGCTGCTGTAACTTCTCTTTTATTCGGCCGATTATCATAAGAGAAGACTCTTTTTCTGCCTGTTTTAACGGAGAGTAAGGAAACACTTGCTAAGTACACGTGAAATAATTATTTTGAAAATTTGGTGAAATGAGTAATCGAGAGTAAGTGATCAGGTTGGACTGCGGCTAGGGTCGCCTTTTATTCACTAGGTGGAAACGCAGCCAGCTGGGCTGTCACTGCAGTGGTTTGGCAAAGGACTTGTGTCCAGGCTTCCGTTAGGACATGGTCTAATGAGTCTTGAGGCTCATCTCACATTGCACATACGGGTCCCACGGAATCATAGCAGTTGAGCCAGCATTGGCATGAAATAACCACGGAGTAGAGATCTTCGGAGCCACAATTTTAAACAAACTGGAGGAGTGATATTCACATTCGATGATTGCTGAACTGCTCAACTATTTTTAAATTGACCCGGCATGGTTTTATACGTACTAAATAAAACCAAATAACAGAGCCCATTCATCTCTAGAATTTACAATTAGAGAATAAAATAGACTACAAAAATCAATCAACCTAAAAAACTGAAGCATTAGTAATTTTTCTACAAGCTTTTAAAGATTCAGAACGAGCCTGCCAGTCACTTTCTGGTAAGCAACTCAGGCACTCCATACATTGTATCGAGTAGGGGGTTGAAACAATCGCAAAGGCGGTATACTACTTATGCGCCAACAGGGGAGAAATCGCAGGAAAAGATGCAAAAATGTATCTGTCAAGATGGTGCATACAGCAAGAGGCAAGCTAGCATTATTATTAAGGAAACTGATCACGAAGGTTGACAACTGTGTTCTTCGCTAAGAAATAAATACTCATTAAATACCAGCAGGTGAAAACTTTACTCCCTTCATTCAAACTTTCATACCTTTGTCACTTTTTGAGCAAATGAGATGATCTGGGTCTCAATTGATAAAATATGATTTAAGCTTCACCAAGCTTTAAGTGGTGCTTGCTGAGTTTACTTGAAAAAGAAAATCCTAACTCTTGTCTATATTGTCTCTTGGGGATTCATTTGAGTTTATTTAGCACCTCATACCATGTATTATTTTTAAGGACAATTGTTCCTTCTTTTCTCGGTAAGATCCAGTAAGTGCCAAGTCACCGTCAAAAAGCTTTAAAAATTCTGAGCATGACTTAATTCAGCCAAAGTGGCTTCAAATTTCAACAAGGATCATTTCCATTTATTAGGTCTAAAAATTCTTGGTCTCTTCCAAATATTGAGGGAAAAATAATTCTTCTACAGTAAACGTTGAGGAGATAAGTAGTTGTCTTATGATTGAAACTTTATATCCCCTCTCCCTATTACATAAAATCCATGTGTCCTTACTTATTTTATCTTCAACCGATGATCTTGGAAGAATGTCCTGCAAAAGTGTAGAAACACAAAAGCTTGGAAAAATTACCTTTTTCACCTACAAAAGGGAGAGACCACGTAAAAACATCCATAAAATTGGGTAACCAATAAGGATGGGGAGAGCAGTTAAACTGTCTTATGTTCATAACATTATTTTCATATTTTAGGACAGCAGCCTGGAAAAAGAAAAGAAAAAGAAAATGTTAGATAAAAATCAATTGGAACTTTTTTCTAATTTTATGGAAGCGGAAAATATTTTTAGCAGAGTCTAGAAAATAGGGCTGACAAAGAGGGGATATATCATAATGGGAAGGTTCAGCCCAACAATCATACATTTACATATTAAAGCCTGATACTTCCAGGGGGTCATCTTAAACTATCAAAGAATGAACTTCTCTAGTGAGTAATTTGTAAGATACTGGGAGGAGGGAAGGCATAGAATATCCCGTTTTTATTGCAGATTTTTGTTATTCAGCCATTAGGGGTTTACAAAAAATATGGATGGCATACTCTGTTTTTAGGAAAAAAACTGAGAAATTTATGTGCGATTAGCTATAGCATCAAGTGGTGGGATTGAGACAGTTCTTAGTAAACCTGAATCTTTTCACAAGCTTTAAGATACATCTTCAATACTTAAAATCTTTTGTCAAAGATGAATGTATTCCTGAAACGAAATTTAACTCCATTGATTTTATTCATCTGTTTGAATTTAAAAGATGTAGAATAAGGAAATTTACTCTTTGGATGATCCCCTTGGTGAGCCTCGAAGATAAAATCCTGATCTTACTGGCTTTACAACACTCTTGAGTAATCACCATTTATAAAAGGATTTTAAAGTAGTAAAGGGATTCTGGCACCCACACACTTAAGGATATTCAACGCAAGAGAACTCAATGGCATTTGAAAATTCGTCTAAGGATCCTTAAAAATTTACTCCTCACTGCCGTATGTAAAATATAGCACTTTTTTTATAGCTTACCTTATTATTATACACGTCTAAATAGTTAGGAGCTGAAAATATTGTGATTAATGAAGGGAATCCTGTGGTTTGACTTTTCCTATACATTCGATAACTGTAAGAGAAGAAAAAAAGAAGAAAAAAAAGACCAGAATAATTAAACAAAGTTTATTATATTGATCAGGCTGTTAATTTAGGGTACATACTTGGAGCAAGGTAAATAAAAATACTTTTAAAACTTGTGCTCCACAAAAAGCAGGAGAAGAGAAGGAAGAGCAAGAGAGAAAAATTAGAAACAAAATTGAAATATAATTTTGGAACCCATCTTTTGTTCTTGTTAATTGTTTTTATACACTTCTTTTTTTAAGGGAAAAAATGTATTATGTGGAGTAATATTCTAATATTTGCCATTCAAACAGGCATCAAAACATTAGAATGATGACTTAAAATGTCATGATAAAAAAAATGTTGCTGATAATACCTAGCCATCGCCGGCCCTAGCGGTGGATCGGAGACAGCACGGAATCGCTTATTCACAGAGAGGAGTGGCAGTGTAGCTAGAGACATACATATAATAAAGCGGCTACGCCTATAGTAAGGACACTCTCGCAGAATTCGTAACGAAGAAGAACAAGAACCTCGAGCTCTCGAGCTGGAACTGGGTAGTCATGCTTACATTCGGAAATGAAAATGACGGCGGTAGCTAACTGTAGTACTCTAACTGTACCTGGTCACATATGATTTTATCAGTCATGTAGCCAACATGAGCATGCATGGGCATGATGAGGCTGCGAAAATCGTTGTCGTTACATTAACTTTGATTCTTATACTCTTTTACTCTGTGACAGTGTCTTTTACACTTACAAGACATTGGACTTTTCTTTGGCACAACTGTTTACATTTGATAACACTGCAAAGAGCTGGGTAGTTCAGAAAAGTATAGGGCACCAGGACCTAACCTAACCTGGACACAACAGGCGCGCGTCACAACGGCAGATTACGCGAGTGTCCCTTCTGTAGGCGTTAGGCTTTATTATTCTATGCTACAGATATTCACCCGTTTAATGTGATATATGCGATATATTTACATAAATGTGGATATCCCGCGTCGGACTAAGAGCTTGGGCGCCGCGCCGCTCCTCGCGGCATCCGTAACGGCGCTTGGGCCCCTACTCCGAGCGCCGCTTTTCGCTGTATTTGGAGCGGTATTGTAGCACTGACGCAAGCGGCCTACGCGCGGCATCACGCAGCGCTTTTCCCGCGGCAGTTCTGATTAATAATGAAATTTAATCGGGTTTTTTTTTTTTTTTTTTTTTTTTTTTTTTTTTACCAAAAAGAAACTCAGATTTTCAGGAAGTAGATCTACTTCTCAAGAGAATATAATTAAAGGGGCTAAAAAGCTTTAAAATAAAAGGGGTACGTGCAAAACGGGCCATTCGGGGCTCGGGGCGGATACCTTTGAGTCTTGCCCTATTCATTCACCAACCAATGCCCCATCTTTTCCCGAAGTTTCAAGCCCCCCAAAAATGTTTAGGGAGACGCGGCGGGGGGTCAAAATTAAAAACCGGCAAAATTTTCTTGAATTTGTTACTCGAAAACCAAGAAGTTTTGAAAAACATGGTTTAGACGATCGATTTCAGTGTGACGAGAGCTTTTAGTAAATGTATGACATCATAGGGTTTTGTCAACCTCAGCTCGAGTTATTGCCTCCGAAGCGCCGGAACGCGAAAAAAAGACCCCTTTTTTTCACGTTCGGGCCGATTTTAAAAAAAGGCATTTTCTGTTTATGATGAAAAACTGATATGTTGTTCCTGACTCTCTGTAGCCCCTCTAGCTCCTTACCGCATGCTGGGGAAATGTTTTGGTCGCGAGTTATAAGAACGGAAAGGAGCGAAGGTCGGGAAAATCGACTATTTTAAACTGCGCGCGCGGCGTTGATCGGAAGGAAAACGTCCCCTCCCACTCAGTTCTGCGAATCACACTCCTCGACCAAACTCGCATTGTTGCCACATGTCCCCTGGTCCGTCGCATTTTAAAATAGCCGATTTTCCCGACCTTCGCTCCTTTCCGCTCTTAGAACTCACGACCAAAACATTTCTCCAGCATGCGGTAAAAAACTAGAGGGGCTACAGAGAGTCAGGAACCACATATCAGTTTTTCTTCAAAAACAAAAATTGCCTTTCTTTAAAATCGGCCCGAACGTGAAAAAAAAGGGGGTTTTTTTTTTCGCATTCCGGCGCTTCGGAGGCAATAACTCGAGCGCCACGTCTTCTCAAAATTTTTGGGGGGGCTTGAAACTTAAGGAAAAGATGGGGCATTGGTTGGTGAATGCATAGTGCAAGTCTCAAAGGTATCCGCCCCAAGCCCCGAATGGCTCGTTTTGCACGTACCCCTTTCAAAAATAATGACTTCCGAAAAATATCACAATCCATGAATTTTTTTCTTGTAAACCTACTTTCGACGTTATTCCTCAGTTCTGTAGCTTCAAAATTTAATAATCTGGCACTCTTATGTAGATATACTTCCTGTGGATCCGCTTTTTTTAAAATAACCCCAATAAAACTCATAGTTATATATCAAAGTGTTTTGGAAACACAAATTGCCAAACCCTGGAATCACCTCAATGAAATAGCTATAAGTAAGTATGTGCAACTGAAGCCCAACCACATGTATCAGATGACTCATTGAAAAAAATAGAGATAGAACTCGGGGATGAGTGCGGCATGTCATTAATAAATCTATTTGTATGTGGTTGCAGGAACAATGACAGAAATTCTCATAACTTTTCCCTGCAACTAACTAGATTCATTCTCAAGAAGAAAGAAAGTAGAACTACTAGACGAAAAAAAAAAAAAAAAAAAAAAAAAAACTCAGATGTAAACCAACAAAGATATTTTATTATCATTACCATAATTTGATTTTCAATTTATTCGTTTGTAAATTTAAGATGTAAATGATACACAAAAATGTGAGGAGTAACGTAAAAAAGAATACAATTTAGACAGACGGGATTTACAATTTAGACATTCTTGGTTCTTACAAGCATATGTCACTAATCCAAAAGCATAATATGCAATACTGGAACACTCGAACAAACATCCAAAAATTGAAGTAACTACTCAATTGAAATACTCAAGATAGCAGACACATAAAAATGAGCATTTAACATGAAACAAGATTGACAGACAGTCAAGGAAAGATCTGTTCCAAAATGATCAGCAGGAAAAAATTTTGAAACATTTTTAATAATATGTCAGTTCACTGGCCATCTTGTTCATCAGTTGAGATTTACTTCTTTTGCCTCTTTTCTCTGGGGCAAACTAGAGATCTAAAATTGTCTCTCGAGAGACAATTTTATTAGTTCAGTTTTTTAATTAACTAAAAAAGTTGATTTATGGAACATATTGCATACTAAAATATGCATAATTTGTATGAAAATAAGGCAATTCTAGAGCAGAGCCAAATTTTAAACATTGGTTTTGAAAACATATTATTCTTATACAACCCTATTTGGACCGCGTTAAACAGAAAGGAACCAAGCCACATCAGCTATTGCCAAATTTAATTGGGCAATTTAATTTTTTACAAGAAAACAGGTGTGCGGATTTTCGTGCATTAGTATGAAGTAAATTCCTCAAAATATTCAAAGGAATCCATACACACGTTCTCTCCTAAAAAATTAAATTGCTCAGTCAAATTTGGCAATGGCTGATGTGGATTGGTTCCTTTCTGTTAAACGCGGTCCATTTATAAGGGTCTCCTCTCTGAATAGACGCTATTGGATGTAAGAATTATTACAGACAAAATTGGAAAGCGAACAAAATAACAGTATGAATGACTATAGCCACATTTGAATTTGATGGAGCCTCAAGATACGTCCAGAATAGGATGCTACAAATACATTCTATCAAATCTTATCGAGGCTGACAATGAATCTTCACTAAGTTCGCAAGGAAAATATGACTTTCGCCACTTTATCGTTAGATGTCCTTCCAAGGATATCCTTTATTCCTCTAAGACATTGAAAGAAATTCAATCCCATATGTCGTTGCAAATCCTAAGATAATGAATGACATCGAAGGATGCATGTCATTGAAAATCCTAGGACATGTCATTACCTAGGAATTCTAAGATGATGAATGACTTAAAACGACGCATGTCATTGATCATCCTAAGATAATGGACAACACATGTCATTGGTTATCCCAGGATAATGAATGACACTGAAAGACACTAAACGATGAAAGTTGCTTGTAGTTCAAGGGGAGCATAATTGCCAGAGAAAATCCTACGATGACGAGTCAAGTTTGACGCAGAAAATGTATACAAAAGTATTGATTGATGCACCTCAACTAGTCTGAATAACACTTTCTCAGTAACTATTCATTAATCACTGATGAAAAGTATCGTGAGATTTTGACTGTGAGACTTAGTTAAAATTTAATACGTTATAAAGATAAATCATGACATTCAGATCTACATAAATGACGCTGACAAATACAGCTAGATCATAACTTTGAGGGAATTAAATTTGGACATCAGCTAATCTAAAAAGTATGACAAAAAATATTCAAGGCTTTGAATTACATAAAATCAAAATTTTCAGTTAATATAGAGCACAAGTATGTAACTCAGACTTGAGAGTGCATGAAACTTGGAGAGATGAAGTTTCATGATAACCATCAAAAGAAACTGCATTCTAAAATATCGAAGTCTTTCAGTGTTGAAAAATCATGCATTAAGGAATTATTTTGCTTAATGCAAGCAAAAACTTCATGCACGTTTTATGAGAAAAAGGACTCACCAAATATTAAGTTCTTCTTTAAAAATTAGATTCTGAACAGCTTGGTTTTACAGATTCAGATATTTAGGCGTTTCTAACACTGCACTTACCTATACTTTCCTTCTTCCTTTGAAAAAATTAATATCTAGACAAATCAAACTTAGAAAATCATTATTTATGATTATTTAAGTTTCACTAAATCTTCCTTGATATCAATGTTGTTTTGAAGCACTACATGATGAATTTTGAGATCTTTGATTTCGCTGCTAACCCTCTACCAAAGATTGGTCAGATACAGGATGGACAGTCAGATCACAGAATATTAGCCAGTTGAAGATTCCAGAATACTTGCGGAAATGAATCTCGAGTGCATATGCTTGTTTAAAGTGAGGCCACTGAAAAATAGATGAAAAGAATGACATTACATGCTGGCAATACACCCAAAAAGATAAGCTTTGTTTAGGTCTTATATATTCACTCCGTTAAATAAATCAGACAGTTAAACAATCTGTTATTATCATTTAAATATTGAGCACTTCAAAACTGACACACAAAAATTCTGTGAAAATCATCATTTCAGTTGAGAGACTCCGCAACCTTTGAGGTATGTCATTGTGAGTAAATCCTCTGCACTTTACAAGGACCACCCAGCGGATGAAACCAAAATCAATTACTCAATGAGTTCAGCGTATCTCACCCAAGATAGGTCACAATGGACAAGGACAATTCCAACCCTGAGCAAAATGAAAATACCTAGCAGAGAAGAAGTGAGATGCAGCCTGAAACTTACTGATAAAGAACATAAGTCTACAACTTAAAAGCAAACTCACTGATTAAATATATAAGTCTAAAACTTATAAGGAGGCTCACAGATTGAGTACATAAGTTTACAACTTATAAGCAAGTGGTACATAAGCCAAGTGCGATTCAAATAGACCACAATCATGGGAATTTCGGCGTAGGAAACTGAATGGTGCTCTTGCTAAAATAGTAGTCTAACTGCTGAAGAGCAACTGAGGATCAGCTATCCTTCACTTTCACACTGAAATATATTGAATTCAAACAGAGCATGGTACAAAGTGGAAGGGAGGTTATAGCTCTGAAGGGGAAAACTTTCTATCGTCCTTCAACAAAATAAGTAACTAAGAGATAAATACTTCGGTTTTATTTCTTGCATGAGCGGTAGGAGGTAACATCAGTAACGAAAATGAACACGCAATAAAAAAAAATAGGAAAATACTTGCCTTAAAAAGTGGACTTCACACTCAATTCCATAGGCGCTCACGACTCACATCACAAAACACCACACCACAACAACTTGGTTGAAAGACGCGCACTGAGCGAAAAGTTTTAAGGCCGCGAATCTGAATCTTGCTTGTGAAGAAGGCACATCCAGACTCCTGCATTTTTCTGCAGCTCCAAACGCACTACACATGCAGCTAGATGCGCTCGCCTGGACTCGTTCCCGACTCATTTACATTCAACCGCTACAGGCAGTGGATGAACACCGCGAGAAGTAAGCTTATAAACTCAACCTCCTCCTCGCTGAAGACTATGGACCGAGACTGTGAGGAGCGTGCTTAGCAACTCCATCTTCAATCGACTGCTAAATTTTGTGGATAGCACGAATATTGGAGCGAGCTCCCGTGCGGGCTAACGGAACCAAAACACGGAGCTCAACCTTGCTAAAGGTACGGCAATTAAGACGCGGAATGCCGCCGCGGAATCGTACGCGGCGGACGCAAGGGAAATCTGTTACACGCGTTTCAATGGGAGCGGCAACTAAGGAGCGGAGCGACGCCGCGGATTCCGCGGCGTCACGGCGCGGCGATCTGTCGAGAACAGATCGGAGCGGAATCCCTCGGAGATTCCGCCTCGTCCGTCGAGGTTTTCGATGATTTTTCATGTCTACTTGCCGAAACGTGGATCGCGGTGGCAACACGAATGGAAAATTGCGGGCCATCGTGAATTATTGGATTCATGAAATAAGAATATGTTTGTAGCACGATATCAACGCATGGCATTCCTACCTCGTGGCAGGTGCAAATAATACGACACAAGTAGGTAAATGAAACATGACACCTTTTTTCCAGGAGATAAATCTGTAAAAACAAAACGAACTAACTATTTTAGAGCTTTTCGGCACCTGAACAATTTACTTAGACGTTGCTATATCTATAGAGAAACCTACACTGGTAAAAAAAACCTCTTGGTTCAAGAGTGCAAATTCTTGTCGCCGGATTTAAGAGTCTGGACTCTTGTTTCAATGCAAAATCCGCTTGAATCAATGCAAAATCCGCTTGAAATAAGAGTCCAAGACTCTTAAATCCGGCGACAAGAAACTGCACTCTTAAGTCAATGCAATACGGCATTGGTCCAAGAGGTTTCTTTTTACCAGTGTAATCGACCAATTTGTTTTGAACATCATGCTTGAAAGTGAAAAAATGCGTGTCTTTGCTTGCAATAATGCAACTGTCTGCTCACGTTTCATTCGTTAATTTGAAACTGTTGATAGGAGGCTTATCTTGGACTTTTAAAAATTTTACAAACGGATATATTGGTCGGTATTCTCTTAAAAAATATTGGAGATTTTGAAACGTGGTGAGTGTTCATTGTACTTTGTAGCAAGGCAAAACGCACACTCGCGAGTTATCATCGGATACTGCTTTATGACGAGACTGCCGACGGACACGACGGAATTTTGGAGGCGATTCCGCTGCTTAGTTGCCGGGCACGGCGGAGCGGAAACTTACTCGACGCCTCGCTCGCTCGGGTCGTCCGCCGCGTACGATTCCGCGGCGGCATTCCGCGTCTTAATTGCCGTACCTTAACTGGGTCATTTTTCAGACCAAGTTAAACAGAAACACACCAAAGCTCAGTGAAAAAAAATAAGTTTGAGGTACATAGTTCTGCATTTACCAAGTCGTAAATTTTCCCTCATCAAAAGTTGAGTTGAAAAAAAAAAAGTAGTACATAAAAATAGTCGTTAAACTTAGTCCCTGACATTGAATCATGCGGAAAAATAGAACTTTAAACCTAAATTCTCAATTCCAACTCAATACAACTTGGTGCATTTCTGTTAGGTATGTAGTCCGTTGCCTAAACAAAAAAATACTGCACTTTTTGATTGGAATATGCCACTTTCGGGGCTCATTGGTGGTGTGATTCTGGAAGAGGGAACACTCTGAGTCCCATGACTGAAGCAAGATAGCAGCCGTGAAAGTCCGCTGTTACGTTTTTTTTTTAAGCGCTGTCCCTTGCTTGCTATTGATCCGATTTTGATCAACCTTATTTCAATGAAAGATATTGTCTGCTACTGTTAGGGGTACTGCGAATACAGCAGTTATACTATCGCTGCGGAAGAGGGAGGGCAGCAGACCCTCCAAAACGTCGTCAGGGACAAAATTTAGATGAGAAAGTTTTAAGTTCTTTCAATTTTAGCGATTTTATTCTTAACATTACAAATGTTTATGACATAATTTAAAGTGCAAATTATGGCTTAAGAACTCATTTGAAAATTCTTAGAATTAGGTAATGGGAACCGTTTCTCACTGAAGACTAAAATCAATACTTTTGATTCGCTGCACTGAATAATTTGAATTTCCATTTCAAGGGCCCTACCGCCTGACTTTGTCACATTTGTTCTTCTGTTATCCCGAAACGTTATCACTGCTGAAGGGCCGGTGGGAGAAAAATTACAAATAGACTTTTTTTGGTAAGATTGTATCGAATTTTCTTAAAAATTTTAAGGAATGATTGATATGAATACTTACCCTGCATCTTGTGCTTCGTGTGCTCTGATTATAGATAATAAATTGTTGTTTTGCAGGAAATCACAACATGCTGCGTAACTGAAACAAAAACTCAAATTCATAAGTCACTGGACCTTCAACTCATAGAGAAATAGTCAACAGTTTGTAAAGTTCGTAAAACCTAGGACATTGAGGACTGGACCAACGGTGGAGACAGATATGTCTTGAATGCTTCAAAATTGGAGAACCAATAGGTTCCTTACACCAAGAAGTTCCTGTCATTGTCCGTGTTGGAGAAGTCTAATGTTATCAATGAAGTAGCTTCAAAATCTTATCGATATCGGTAGGATTAAACGGAGACAACTTCTCCACAGCGTTATTGTATGCTAACAGTTAATACCTGAAACATAAAGGCAGCTTTTCTCTGAAAGCCTTAACTGAAATTTATTCAATCATTACTACCAATGTATTTGAATGTTTAGGCGGAAAAATTGTGGAGAATATGAAACAAAAGTGAAAGATTAATCGCTGGAACGATTGCAGCGCAATACTTTAGAAAGAGAAAAACAAATATTGGTGTCCAATATTCAACTATTAAGTTGTGGATGTTTAGGTTTTGTCATTATAGATAGAATCTAAGAGAAAAACTAATGTAGGAGACACGCAGAATTGTTTTTTCTTTTCATTAATTAGTGACAAATCCTGTGTGCTCCCAAAGGAATGAACACAGGCTCCCATGTGACCTCCCAAGTGTCAAATATGCATAACGGAACTTTATCGGAACAAATACAGGCTTCTATCTAACAAGCACTGCATGTTTATCTATCTTCAAGTGGTTAATATGACTCCATAAATATTATTATCTGCATATTTGAAAGGCCTTTTAAAACTATAGATTACTGCTGAAAATATACACTGAAAAGGGTAGTCATGCATCAAACTGCAGAGTTTAATTATTCACCTAAGATGATAAATTGAGAGGACCACCATATCACTGTTCTAATTGTGAAATTTATGAACTCCTTCTGACAGAGATGTAATTATGATTTGCCGCTTATTTTCTACTTTAGACAGCTCGAATGACAGAGTGTGCCAAAAAAATAGAAGACAGGCGGTTTGTTTGGACAACACAGGTAAAGTTTCGGGTGAAATAAGTCTACCACAAAGCACTGATAGTCACTATCAGTAAGGGGATGTATAAAACTACTTCAGCTAAAGACCGTAATATTGCACTGATTGAGGTATGTTGGGGAGCAGATGATGTCAAGTATGAGACCTGTAGGTCTGCTTGCCACTAAAACACACAGTTCAGTATATCGCTAATGCCTCCCAAACTTTCAGGGTGAAACCAACATGAGATTGTGGGAAACAAAAGCTGTAACAGCGAATCCCGTCAGAACTGAATTGCTGTCTTTCCATCTTCTTCTCAATGCGAGAAAGTAAGCACGATTAGTTGATATACATACCCAAACTAGGGTTTCCTGTTAAGCTTGTAATGTTTACTCACGTATCATTTCAATTTTGACGATCGATGAGACATTTTCTTTAAAATGAACAAGACTACAACACAAAAACTAAGTAAAATTCCTCAAAACTTTAAGTCTGGTATAATTCTGATCAGGGTGAAAATCCTCCTGACCTAACATAGTCCTGATCACAACAAACCATTGCCACATTGCCGCCTTCTAACCGGTGAAGAATAATTTAAATCGCGTCTATGAAAAGAAAACTAAAAATCGATTAGGAGAGAATTGATAAAGAACCCTTACAATATTACAAAGTTTAGCACTCTAAGTTTAGCTCGTTTTCCTTCTAAAATTAAAGTTATTCGAGTATTGTTGATTTTATTGTAACGTGGCAATCAGGCTTTGGACAGTCAATCAGCGTTGCCCGTGCGCCAGCAAGTTCAGTTCTGTTTTGTTGCATGTCATGGCCCAACGGCTTGCCGAGTTAGTATAAATCGCATACACGGTAATTTATATACTGGGTGGGCTGGGTAATCGCATACTAGCAGCATCCAGTGCGTATATTTGCGCCTAATCCCACAACCACAACCTAGGAGCATTTTCCGGAGGCGCAAAATTCCCCGCCCGCACCAAATAGTTGGTATACTTAATAGTATACCAAGGTAGATTTACACAGGTATGGAAAAGTTGAAAATTTCCCATGAGCCTCAGTACGTGTCACATGACCTCGTGACGTAGGTTAAGGGGCCCGTTTTTTAATTAAATTACAATCAAATTAACATTCAAACGTTTGTGCGTTTAAACGCTAAAATTAATATCGCATAACCAAAATTGTGCAAAAAATCCCACAAAATTTTGACAAACGATAAACCGAACATAATAAATCAAAATAATCAAAACATCCAAAATGGCTGACGTTAAGGGGCCGCTGGAGAGCCAATCAGAGGCCAGTTGTTTAGTTCTGTCCATACCTGTGTAAATCTACCTTGATAGTATACCAAATAGTTGGTATACTTTGAATGCATTCAAACATGCATTCAAAGCAAGAAAAGTTCAAAGTGACGAAAGGTGTGCACCTGGATAGCGATGTGTTGCTGTTTTTAAATTCATCAGAAAGTTTGAAGAAAGAAATCCCGAAGATATATGAATTCATTGGTTCAAAATTGAAAATAAAGTGTATAATTACTGAAGGAAGAAGATAATGTCAATAGACTGACATGTTGGGAAAATATCTTCATCCAAAAGCAAAAGAAAGACCACCTGATGAATGTAGAATTTCCGCCGCCTAACATATTATTTAAGTTGTTTGAAACATCTGGCAACAAGGAAAACAAAGGAAGGCACAGCAACCGCCGCATATCCGAAGATCATGCCAGTCGCGCCCTGATGATGACCTAACGGGTCGAAACGCGCGTCGGACGGTAATTTTGCTGTAATTTCGCTGTAATTTCGCTGACTAGTGAGTTTTTTTTAAAATTTTTAAATTTTACTTCATTTTTAAACGTGACCTAGTCTGGTACTTTTTAGATTTTTAAATACAGTACTCTACTATCTATTGCCAAAAATAAAGTTTTTGTTGGAGCAAATTTTGCAGAAATTGAAGTTTATATTTTACATTGAGTCTTATGCAGGAGCCAAACTTTAAACCTCTTTTTCTCGGTTCGATCCTGATGAGGCTTAGTTCCTTTCTGTTTAACTCCGTCCAACTAAACCTTTCTCGCACTGTGCTCGTTCAAAGTGAGAAACTGGCATGATTAAAACTCATCATCATGAATACATACAACTTCTGAGCTCAATAAAAATATGTAAGAATTCTCTGTATCTCTGATTACTATTCAACCATTCCATGGACCTTCAGACTCACGTGGCTTCACAACTTCTTAGGTCTTTAAGGAACGAGTCCCTTGGAATTTAAGGTATAGGTTATGTTCAACGTAAAAACAGTAAACATTCATACATGTAATCCATTTGGATGGTATTATTTCTCATCTGCACTTAAGATTGATAGATATTGAAAGCACTTATATTATGAAAATTGTCACACTTCGAATCTCTAATTTTACCTTCTTGCGGCCTTTAAGCAGAACCAGCACCGACCGTTATTCAGCTCAGGAGTCTGTAATATTAGAATTTTTACACTTTATCTAAGTGCAGTCTTATTTGTCACCTGTGGAATATTGAATGATATTTGAGCAGACTAGGGACAGTTCAAGAGGTTTGTGGTTTATTCACCACTCATTGATGGATAATCCTATGACATGCCAGTCTATTAGGGATTTTAGTGTTTACGATATGGTTAAGCTTTGATGCCACATTTTATCCCCTAGTAAAGTACATGGAAAATACCAGTCAGAAATTCTCAATCGTTTTTTCTTCAAAATTGATTCTTACAACAAATGTCGTTCCTATGAAAAAATGATTTCTCGGATGTTATGTTGGTTGGTTTCACCCTGAGGTCTTTGTAATCCAACGATCTTTGGCTTACCTGTGGTTTTGATGCACTGTTAGTCTTAATTTTTCAGAGCCTCAGCACGGACAAAACCATGAAATTCTCCTGTGTTGTCCAGAATCCATAATTAGCCATTCGCTCTCTTTTATCTGGCAGTCTCCTTTAAATTTTTGAGCAGCCGTTCACAGAATATTGATGGCAAACTTACTTCTCCGCAAGTCCTCCGTAAAGATCATGAAAGCATATCCTGCTGTTTCACAAAGCTCTCTCATGTGTTCAATCATTCAATACTTTTTCAAATATTATTTTTATCATAGGTTTCGTACTTTTTCTCCCAAGATTCAAATTTGGTGTTGCATCCTAGATCATTAGAAGAAATTTGTTTCATAACTTAGCGTGTGTAGTGTGAAACCGATCTTAGGAAAACAGTGCTTCAAGTCCCTCAATGCTAAAAGCTATTCAGCTCATTATTATAACTATGTCAGGTAATCGATGCCATACGTTTTAGGTGAGTCCTACAATTTTTTCTTTTCTTTAATGCATGACAGCTCCTAGGTAAGCGAAGGAATCGACCAAAGCATTGATCTTTGACGAGTCATGAAATTCCTTCTCATGTTCGCATGAGAGTCAGATATTTGCAAGTGTAACTGTGAGATTTCTGTGCCATGAACCAGGTAAACCTGTACAGCACGGAAACTGACTTCAAGGGAATCATGGCCACGGAAATCGTGATCATGGAAACCAGCTTCAGGAAAATCATGGTCACGGAAAATTTTCTGTCCAAAAATTCCGTGACTCTGATTTCCTTGAAAAAAAGTCGCGGAAAAGTCACGGAACAATTTTACTTGGGGTAGCTATCAAACGAGACCAAAAGTTTGTCAATCAAACGAATGGTTGGAGAGATACAGCGCGTTTTACACGTGTGAAACGCGACCATGACCACAAGCGGGGGGTGGTAATCGCGCGGCACTTGAACGGCTCTCGCAGGTTAACTACTCGTAGAACTAGAGTCCCTTTATACCCAGAGTTAAGACAACTCACTTTTGGTTGGGCTGAAAGTGGCCTAAAAAAAAATCCAATTCTGATTGGTTCTCGCTCACGGAGGCCGAAACGAGTGCACCAAGGTGGCGGTACCTCGAATGTGAACAAGAATAATGAAAATATTACCTAATTGTGGTTTATCAAGAGTAAATTGTCATTTCCATCGGTCCAAAATGAAAATAGATTGAGAAATTATTCACAAACCAATCTCATTTTCTTTTCAATTGATCAATTTGTTGATGTTGTTTTTGTGTGACAGACATCGCAGGATTCCTGATCCTTATCCCTCAATATAGTTCGTTTGGGTGCACTCGTTTCGGCCTCCATGGCCAGCCAAGGCCGGCTGCCAGTCAAGGCCGGCTGCCAGTCAGCTGATAATCGAGTTGTCTTAACTCTGGGTGTAAAGGGACTCTACGTAGAACGAAAATTATCATGGTATCACATTAAACTCGAGATTAAGACCCACCTCTTTTACTGAAGAGAAAAAATCAATTTTCTTGCTCAGTTAAAAGTTATTTTAATTCGAAAGGACCCCGCACACCTCTTATGAGAAGCTGCACCATGAAGAATTGCCTTCTGACTTATGTATTTCGATTCTCCTCAAGATGCTGATCAAAAGTTATAATTGCGCCAACTTTCTAAGATGCACCGTTTTCGCAAAGAACCTATGAGAAGATTCAATTATTCGGTGACTATGAATAAAAAGGAACAAAGCATTTGAGAACAGGCCCGATGTGTGTAAGGAAAAAACGTAGCATGTGTCCGTCTTCTTATCTGTACCTGCCGACTCAGGGGCTATCTCCCTCCCGCACTCGCCCGGTAGACGTTCAGACTTTCCTGTTCTAATGCTCCTCAAGAATCTGATTTGGATGGTGGTCGAGCAAAACGGCGTGCGGAATCCAAGATAAGACTGCCGCTCGGTGCGGGAGTCCCCATGATTTCCTTGTTGACACACAGCCGCTCGTCAATCGAGCACTGAAATGAGGAATCTTTCTGGCTTTATATCACCGAATAATTGAATCTTCTCATAGGTTTTTTGCGAAAACGGTGCATCGTAGAAAGTTGGCGCAATTGTAACTTTTGATCAGCATCTTGAAGAGAATCGAAATACATAAGTCAGAAGGCAATTCTTCATGGTGCAGCTTCCATAAGAGGTGTGCGGGGTCCTTTCAAGAATTTTCGACCATTTTTTTTTTTAAATTTTAGGAAAATTGTTGATTGAGTTGGATATTTTATAATTTAATCATACACTGGAGACTCTTTTAGCTCGCATTGAAAAAAAGAACATCAAAATCGGACAATTGAGGATAGAGATATATTGCTTCAAAAAAACGCTTGGCCAACATCTTGGATCGAATTTGAAAGTGGTGCTGCGGACAAAAACGACCATTTTCCATCTAGTATGACCTCCCGAAGTGGCAATTTCCAATAAAAAAAAAATCTCCGATTTTGATCGTACCTACCGTACTAGTTTTGAGAGGTAAAAGCTGTGCACACATAAAGTCCTCAGAAACTACACTTTCTTGTGTCGAAACGCAAATAAAATTATACTTTTGAAAAAGAAAAACAATTACACCGAGTAAACAACAGGACGCAATTAGTCTTACATTGAAATTGAACAAAAAAAAGTCACTCAGTAGAACATAAAAAACAAGACATTCTTGATAGTAATTCCATTACTAATTTTTGCATACAGATTTAGTCAGGAGTTTGTATGGCGGCATTATTATAACGACTACCTAAATTCATAAAAAATGAACGAAAGAGGGATAACTAAGACATTTAACGACGCAGATAAGCCTTACCTATAAAAATAAGAGCACCCTCTGACGCTATTGTGACTGAAATGTTCGGCGTTTTTTTCATTGCCAAAATCTTCTAACGGGTCTGACCAAAGGAGATCACACATAGGTCCAAAAGCGGGCGGCTCCTTAAACCTGTCTAGCTGCAAAAAACATAATGCAAACAAAAAAATTACGTTTTTTTTTTCAAAATTAGCCATTCATAATTAGTAAATTGATTCGGTTTTCTTCACTAGTCACGAAATAAAAAGAGGCGAAGACTGCGGGAGGTAATGGCCTAGAGGACAAGAAACGAATTTAACCATTATGATACGTCTTCAGCTGACGGAGAAGCCCGAATTTTGTTTGACAATATCCTACGGAAACGACAGTTGAATCTTATGTTGCGTTTAACTTTCTATTTAACGTTTTGTCCGCCTTTGTCGGATGAAAAGCTGAATAGTGTGATTTGGGCTTTATTTTGTACCTTTTCTACTGATCCATTGCTCAACACCCTGTATATTAAATTCAATCTATTTCCAGGGCAACATTCGGTTCATATCACTGATCACTTGCTTTTGTTTATGAAGCACAGCTTTTAAGATTTCATTTTCTTTCTTCAAATCATCGTAGGTACAATTTTTCTTTACTTAGCTGTAATTCGTCAACTCAGCGATCAATAGCTTTTGTTACTACTTATTCCATGTCTACTTTCAGCTCATTTCTCATTTTCTCAAGTAGCATGGAGAGCTCAGCTGAATCCATCACGGCTGGAGCTGTTTACTACCACTACCGTTATCACGCGTAAAGGATGGGTTTGTTTACATACAGTTCCTCCACGCCACTATCACTGGGCTATCGTTTCGACTTTTCGATTCGTCGATTAATCGATGTATTGATTACTCAATTCAATCTATTTTCGATCGAGAGTTGAAGCGGCAGTAAACAGCCGCCAGGCGACCCGAGTTTGATGGTCTCAAACAATGGTTGCCTGGGACTGGTTCAGTAGGGACTGAGGGGGGATGGGACTTAAAGCGTGGGATTAGCCCTCGAGGGCTATTTGAAGTAGTAAAAAAAAAAAAAAAAAAAAAAAAAAAAAAAAAAAAAAAAAAGAGTTATCAAACTCCTCGACTGTTTATCAACAAACCTAGCTGACTGACCGCACTACCGACCGCAGCGCGTAATATGGTGATAACGCGAAATTCCAACGATGACCGAAATGACGACATTGAACTCCTGACACAGGACCGTTCACCGCTACATAGACACCAGCGTCTTACGTAATCTCCATCTAACAATAAGCCGGCCTACCCAGTCTTATATTTTCTAAAGGAGTTCACTTGGCTCGAAAATTTTGTGCAAACCACTCCTTCATTGGCTAAACTGAAAAAATAGTTTTGTTAACAGGGCTCCTGCACTTCTTTTGTAACAGTCACAGAAGCTTCCAGAAGCCCTGTGAGCAGATGGTTCGGTCAGCGATTTATTTTTCTTTTCTTTTTTTTACTAAAATATTGGGGGGGGGGGGGGTAATCGATAGGGGCTATTTTTGAGTCAACCATGCCAGAATTTCCTCCACTCTCCAATTTTTGCTCGTTGAAGGTATACATTTTAGGGAATGCATCATACTATGGATAATGTCCGTCTGTTTTCAGGTTTAATACTAGTCTAAACATAGGTCTAAAAAAAAGGGGCAGATTTTGGCGAAAAATGCGGGTTAACAGTCGTGCGTTGAAAAATCCGCATTTTCCACAATAATTTATTGACCCTGAGACCCATGTATTAGGCCAGTATTGGACCAGAAAACAAACCTGAAATGACGAAATTATTATGCATTCCGTTAAGAAAGTATGGATCATTAAGGTGATTCGATGGACGCCATGTTTAGTGTCGGAGCGGCATTCGATAAATCGCATCAATTGGTTCCATTTTTTCAGCTACCCGTCATTTTTCTCCGATTTTGAGATCGCAATGGATCTGTTGCACCTATTTTTTTTAATTAATTTTCTAATAAAGTGCATCATTCTGAGCTTCATGAATTTTTCTCAGAATTTTTGGACCCCCCAAACACCCCAAAAAAGCACCCAAAAGTTCAAAAAATTTTGGCGGGAAAATTTAAAACTACAAATGACGGGAGAGTGAAGCCATTTTGTGACGTCACAACCAATACCCCACGTTTGTTTATTTTACAAATACATGGATTTCCCCATAAGGGATCAAGAGGAAAATTTTCAAAAGGAATTATCAGACTGTTGGAGGCCGTATTCATCAAATTTTCTTGCGATAATAGACTCTTTATACTCTCTAATTGATAAAAACATCCCTAGTAACTTACAAATCGCATCAGATGATTTAATTATTTCCGATGCATCAAAGCATGTCACGAAAGTGAGGTTATGTTTACAATCTTATCTGGGATACATATAAGTCCTGTTTTCACGGTAAAACTCTCATATAATGTAGTTTTAGGTTCCTTAATCCTAGGAACTATCTGATGCAGCTTTCTGAATCTAATTCATTGGATATTGGATCATTAGATTCTACTTTTTTGCATGAAATGTGTCTTGCTCAGCTGCGCTATCTGACTAGCTGAGAGATCAACGTACTCATTTGAACATATTTACTTGTTTAAATCTGTCCGCTCATAAGTAAATAAGTTGAAAATACCATCAATTTTACGTAAGGTAAGATTCTCTGCCAACCAAGCACCAGCTATGAACTGTTGGAGGTCCTTAATCACCCATCCGGTTGAGGAGTTACTACCCCTCCGATTAGTCCAGTGCCTGTTTCGATGAATGTATGGTATTTTAATAATTACTTACAACTAATGATGCAAAGAGTTTATACAAAAACTATATAGGTATGACATCGGGGGTAAATATTTAAGTCAATAGTTTCCATCATATTTTTAAAACTTCCAATGAAAGGTAGCTGTTGCAGTAAGCAGGACGGATCAGGAATACCTCACTCATACATCATTTGCACTGAAATACTGGGACAATAAGTAATCATTAAGAGTCAAATAATGAATACAAACTTAATTTTACACAATATATCCGATACATGCGTTGATGTATTTGAGCAAACAGCATTGACTTGACCAGCAAAACCCCCTAAAGGGAGACATAACCACACTTTCGGGACTTCTTTACATGTATTAAACTTTAATATGATGCGATTTTAACATAGTCGTTGATAAATTTGTAAAGTAGAGGATGTGTAGAACTGATATCTGCAAGAAAATTTGGTGAAATAAGTTAAATATCGACCGAAATTCGTTTTAGAAAAACGACTTTGAATTCCTTATGGGGTAGCACAGGTGCGTCGAAACGGCGGGAAATAAGATTGCTGGTTGTGACGTAGACGACCAATGAGAGGCCTCCGTTGGAACTTTGAACTTTATTTAGATTTTGCAGCTTTAATATCAAACTATGAATGTTTTTAACCACACCAACCGTTTTCTCGTGAAAATTTACATCGGAATGACTCATTACACTCCAAATCCCTCCTGAGTGCAACAGACCCATTCTGTTGTCAGGAGACTATAGCACTCACTTACCAATTTTAACAAAGAAATTCAACGAAATAAAGGCGTATTTTTTTAGAGAGAAAATATCGCATTCGAGTGCAGCTTTGATATCAGTATCGAATGCGATGCTTCCTCTCTAAAAAAAAACCACGCATTTATTACGTTGAATTCATTTGTTAAAATTGGTAAGTGTATGCTTTAGTCTCCTGAAAACAGAATTGCGATCTCAAAATGGAGAAAAATGACAAGCAGCTGAAAAAATGGAACCAATTGATGCGATATATCGCATGCCGTTCTGAAACAAAATATGGCGTCCATTCCTCTCACAGAATAACTATCGTGCAAATTGTATTACTGCACACATACCTGTTTAGCATTTTTCAAAGCTACGAGAAAATCGCATGGTTTTGAAAATATTGTAATAGTGTTGGTTCCCTTGTACTAAATACGATCCTATCAATCAATTCTTTAATAAGGGGAATCTGAGCGTTGACTTCCAGATGTAACTTATTCAGTACGGGGAAAATACCAATATATGAATCTATATATACACCGCGCGTTAGGTTAGGTTACGTTACATAGAGTATCAATAGACATATACGGTAAAACAACAAAAGCTCGTGCCTAGTTGCCGGCGTTTCAAAATTTCCGCCCAAAATTTTGGCGGCAGATTTGAGGCATTCTGAGTGATTAAACAAAAAGAGTAGACACAGCTTTGTTTTTCTTTTTCTCTGTGGAAATTTTATGAGCTCCAGTATACAAATGACGAAAAACGATTTAATAACGGCTCAGTTTTTGATAAATCCAGCTCGAGTTCTTTACGAAAAACCCGGAAAAGTTCCCTCTTTTTAATTTCTTTGTCATTGGAGGGAAGACTGGGGGGAGATAGTCGAACGAACACAGGATTCTTAGCGACTTTTTTCTGGGTGTTTGAAGGACTACAATGACTTATTATCAAACACAGCCTTAAATAGAATTTTTCGTGTTATTTTTTTTCAATAATGGTCTTCTTACAGCAGGAACAAGCGGGAAGAAAATTAGTACAGCTCTCGATCTGCGGAGGCACCAATCAGTTTACCCAACTCCTCCTAGCGGTTATTTTCAAGTAATAACAGTTCGCGCCGCTGGCACTTTGAAAAACGCCCTTTGCCGCAACTTACATCGCGTTCGTTAAAAATTAAAACGTTTCGATGGGCTCCTCGCAACCCCATCCCTGCTCGGAGAGGCCTGCTTCCTGATGATGCTTCCTGATGATGCTTCCCTTTCGTTGCCCTGAATACCTACAGGGTGATCCAGACCACCCGTCCACCATCTTTTTCTCGAAAACGGCGGAGAATTGAGCTTCAGGACAAAAACTTTCCTGAGGTAAATCGACCCCAAAGAATCGAATGAAAATATTTTCAGCCCCCCAAAATGGCCCCTTGGGGGGGTTTTGGGGGGGGGGTGCCCCCCGTTTCTCGCGATTTTCAAATGGGAAGGGTATGTTTTGACTTTGGATTCGAAATCTACGGCAAAAAATAAGAACATTTTGTTCTTTGCACTTTTTCCCTAAACCCCCATTTTTTGGAGTTATGGGGCATTTTCGGGGCAATTTTCAAATCGATGCTGTGAGCGGCCAAATTATTCAAATTTCAGAAT